GTCTTATAGCCTAAATTGGCCTCAAGCATATTACATCGCCCATGTTACCCTGGGACTCACAGTATTCCTTCTGCCTCAGCCTCCCAAGTGCTGGGATAAAATGAAAGAGCTTGCTCTGTAATTTTAAATGATAAGTGTATTTCTTTCCATGCACCCTTTCCTAATCTAGATTCTCCTGGCAACTAGGTTTCTTATGTCTACACTACCACTTCTGTCGCCAGAAGCACTTGGCCTGGGTCTGATCCATTCTCTAAAGTGGCACTCCAGACTTCAGAATCTCTGAGATCCATCCCCTGCCCTTCATAATCCCATACACCCATTGTACTACTAATCAGGCCTGAAGTCAGCATTAAGGAGGAGAAATATCTGGTCGAGGCAGTACTAGTACATGAAAGACTCAGGGACCCCTAGTCACATAAGGAGTTGAGAAAGTGTTTTCCCCAGGCTGATCCTTACATTTCATAAAGGGATAGTTAGGCCATGTGCAAGGCACTCCTGTAATCCCAGCCCTTGAGAGGCAGAGGCAGGAGGATTGCTGTATCGATCCAACCTGCTTGATAAAGGAAAGAGAGAGAGGAAAACTGTTTATAACACAGAAATGTAAGGCCACGTCCCTACACAAATGAGTCTCCCTGACTTAGTTAAGTAGGACAGGTGACTCTTCTTGGTAGATCTAGGTGGGCAGTGTTCCTGAATGGTTAATATAGAAGATATATCACATAAGCACCATAGCAGTTCAAAACTAAAACCTGGGGAAGGTTTCTTTTCTCCTAGGAGTGATACAAAAGTGAAACCTAGGGTCGGGGCTACATTGAACAGACTTCCACCTTTGCTAAGGGAAGGGGCGGAACAAAGAGCACCATATTGGCAGAAAGGTACTAACCCTCTTTAGCCTGGGGGTTAACGCCCCTCAACTGTGTCTCCTTGCTTGTCTCTCTTGAAGCATGTATTCTCCCACTAGAATTTTCCACGTTGACAGTGGAGAGGTTATAGGGAAGAGGTACAAGAATTGCCTGTACTGTGAGAAATTTAAAAGTTGGGGGAATGTGAATGGGGGGATGACTCAGTCAGTAAACTGATTGCTGCACAGTCATGAGGAAGACCTCATTCAGGTCACCAGCACACACATAAATATCTGGGCGTGGGGAATGGAGGGATGCTGCCCTTGCAGGGGATCCTGGTCCAGTTCCCAGCAGCCTCATGGTGGTTCACAATCATCTGTAACTCCAGTTCCAGGGTCTCTGACACTCTCTTCTAGCCTCTGGTGGCACTAGACACACACATGGCACACATACATGCAAGCAAAACACTCATACACATAAAATTTTAAAAAGTAAATAAAACCTTTTTTAATTAAAAAAAAAAGAAAAGCTAGGTGTGGCAGTACACATTGACCTTAGTGCTGAGGAGGCAGAGACAGGACGGTCCTGCAGCCTGCTGACCAGTCAGTCTAGACAAATGGGTGAACTCTAGGATCAGGGAAGAGACCTCGTCTCAAAAATAAGGTAGAGACTGGTGAAGACAACTAGGTCAGCCTGTGGCCCCAACTATGTCCACACCTGCACACACCAAAAACAAAAAAGGCAATAATGGTTGTAGACATGATTCTCAGATAAATGCTAAAAAGTGAGGGGGTGGATCTAAAGCTGCACCTTTTACCATATCTGTGTTTTTATATTAGTTGTAGATTGTTTTATTTACATTTATCAGAATTCTCTTCATGACTGGTAATAAAATAGCAGTTTTGCAAATGTCCTAGAGACTGTAAAAGACCAGTTAGGTAGCTCTGTGGGGGCGCACTTGTGGTCCTGCTAATCCAATCCTAACTGGGTCTCACATGGTAGAAGAGTAAGCCAACTCCCCACGGGTTGCCCCCTGAATTCCAAACATATAAATGGCTTTAAATAAAATATCCACAGCATTCTTTTATGTGTATGTATGCATGTTTGTGTGTGTGTGTGTGTGTGTGTGTGTGTGTGTGTGTGTGTGTGTCTGTGTGTCTGTGTGTCTGTGTGTGTGCATGTGTTCATGTGTGTGCATTGGGTAGCCAAAGGTTAAGGGAGTGTCTTCCTCAATTACTTTCTACCTTATTTTTAGAGACATTGTTTCTCACTGAGCTCACCATTTTAGTTAGATTGGCTGGCTACCACACCACAGGTGTCCTGCAGTTTCCACCTCCCCACAGCACTGGAATCACAGATGTCTGTCACTGTGTCCAGCTTCTTACATGCTCATGCTTGTATGGCAACCGCTTTACCTCCTGACCCATCTCCCCGGCTCGGTGTTTGTTTTTATGGGATAGTGTCTCACTCTGTAGCCCAGGCTGGCCTCAAACTCAGAGCAGTCCTCCCACCTCAGGCTTCTAAGTGCTGGGATTCAGTCATTAGCTACCACCTAGCTAACTTGAAGATTTTAGGATGTTAGTGTTTCAGGAAATCCAGAGTTGACCAAAATCTTGTTTACCCTTGTATATTAAAAGGACCAGCCTTAATATTATACATCCCAGGGGCTCAGGAGAGAAAACTACGAACAGCGAGGACTGTTTTTGGGAAATAGAATCTCAGCACACCACTTGCTTTTATTTCTCTGGGATAAAATCCTATCTATACAGCTTTAGTTCTGCTCTCATGTCTAGCTCCTTTCTTGCCTGATTTCTCTCTATATTTATCTACTGTTCCCTCTAAGTTCTATCTTAATTCTCTCGTCTTAATTTTGCCTCATCTAGGTCCTTCTCATCTCCTTCTTACCCGGTTAGTTCTTCCTCATTTGGCTCTTCCTCATCTTCCATCTCGTCCACATGTTCTCTCTGATCAAAATCCTCCTTATCCCTCTCAGTTCTCCATCCTCAAGTTTTTTACCCTCTCTTCCTCTCCGTCTCCTCATACCTCTAAGTTCCATCTCCCTCTGTAAATTAAGTTTTCCTGCCTGGCCCACAGTCAGGACAAATCTCTCTCACCCGCCAGTCCCACAGCTGCTTAGACCCAACTAAGTAAACACAGAGACTTATATTGGTTACAAACTGTATGGCCGTGGCAGGCTTCTTGCTAACTGTTCTTACAGCTTAAATTAATCCATTTCTATAAATCTATACCTTGCCATGTGGCGTGTGGCTTACCGGCATCTTCACATGCTGTTTCTCATCATGGCAGCTGGCAGTGTCTCTCTCAGCCTTCCACTTCCCAGCTTTATTCTCCTCCTTGTCCGCCTATACTTCCTGCCTGGCCACTGGCCAATCAGTGATTTATTTATTGACCAATCAGCAACACATTTGTCATACAGAACATCCCACAGCATCCCTCTCTGAAAATAAAACTGCCTTTTTATCCCTTTGACCCTCATCTGTCCAAGCTATCACCATTTTTTCTACAGGGTGGGGGAAAGTGTGCTCGGTCACTAGGCAACCTGTGTACAGCTAGATGCCTCTGGTGATAGTTAAAGGGAGATCTGGAACTAGAGGTAAGATTTGGGAAAGGAGAAAGTTAAGCTTAATTGGCACATCCACCAGGCCTTCTCAAATAGGTAGTCTGGATGCTAGGGTCTCTGACAAGGTACTTTCTTCCGTCTGGGGATGGACCTGGCCGGATGCTGCCAATGACGGTAATTACAGGGAGGAGACTTGAACTGGGGTTCTGGCTGTGCATAGCTGTCATTGCAGAAGGTTATCTAAATATTCCTAGAAGTGATTAGGTAAGGAGTTAGAGGTCTATAAAGTTAAGGCTGTAAGAAAAGGAGGATCTGAGCTAAATTGTGCGAAGCTATTACTTAAGGCCCACCTGACCTAGGCTCTGTCTCCTTATGGAATTTACCTTAAATCAGGAGACTAGCATGTGGTGGTCTGGACTGTTATTTCTGTTAGTCCTTGGATGTGGCTAAGGGAGAGATCTGATTCCAGTGCTGAAAGGGGAGAAACAGATGGGCTGGGGGAAGGAAGCCTTTCCTGAGGCTGTTCTCCAAATACCTTGAATGTATATGTCCAAAGAGTAATCAGTCCACAGTGTTAGCAGTTATTAGGGAAAAATCAATTGGGAATAGTTTTATGAAGGCACACATGTTTTTCATAACAGAAGACAGCTGATATATAACAAGCCAAATAACACCAAATGCTCCCTGGGATTTGGCTTCCTCTGAAGGAATTCCTTGATCCCTTCAGGTAGTAGCTTTGCCATAACCAGCAGAGTTCTTATGATATATTCCTGTGGCCCATAGCAGTTTACCTCCCCCCTACCCCCTGAAGTATTTTCATCTTGGGTATCATGGTAAATCGAACAGGGTCTCTACAGAGAGAGTAAAGAGGTAAAATAATGTAAAATCTCACAGCAGTACACTGGAGAATAACTGTTACACATATTGAACTTTCTGTGTAAAGAGTATAGTTTGCATGCTTTGCTGTTATAATTGATAATATTTTGTTTAACCCAGATACAGTTAAAGAATCCAAATTTGGGCTTAGTTTTTGTCCTTTAACATGAGAATCTTTTTATGCTGATGTTTAATTTGATAATTGTTGGACTAAAAGAAGAGATGGTGGTAGAGGAGTAGTGTTATCAGAAATGCCCGAATCCTTTGTTTAAAGAGGGAGAAAATACCTTGAAGCAGCTGCCAAGAGTTGCTGTCCAGTTACACTGTCCTTCCTTGGTGGTGCGGAAAGGACCAGTACCGTGGACCTTTACTTACCATGACTCTCTGTCCTTGTGAGAGGTCCATATCAGACATAGGAACTGAGATCAGCAGCTGCACGGACTGTCACCAAGTTAAGAGTACCTCAGTACTGGCCTCTGCACCCCTGGATCACGTGGGCTGTAGGGAGACACACAGCACAGCTTGATACCAACCAAGTTGAAGTTGTGAAATCTATGGTTTGTATTAGTGTGAGCTCTCTGTTTGGCTGTTCTAATTGTAGAGTGTCTCAGAATGTCAGAAATCGTCGTGACCTGAATGCTTGGGTGCATTTGGAGCCAATGCCCTCTCCATGCTGATGTCTTTTCTCTTCCTTTTCACAGCTGTCGCTGAAGTGTAGAGCCCCTGAAGTCTCTCAGTACATCTATCAGGTCTACGACAGCATTTTGAAAAACTAATAAACGGGTCCTGTACCCTCCAGCCACCCTGTAATCGGTGCAAGCCAAGAACTCGTAACTGAAGGAAGTCGTACTGCTGTGTAGAGCCTGAACACTGCGCCACCCACCCCGGTAGTGACCAGTCACCCTGTGCTGACATTAGCATTCACCCCGTTGGATAGGTTAGCTTCCTGTGACACGTGTGACCACTGCTTCCATCATTCCCCACCTCTGCCACCTGCCGCTGCCCTCAGGCCTTCCTCATGAGCTTCTCCATGCTGTGCCAATGGCTAGCTTTTTCTACACCCTCTTTTGAGTGTAGTTTGATATTTTGTAATCAGAAGCTCATTTCACAAGCAGAAAAAGGCAACAAGTTAATTAAAGCAAGGAAAAGTGTCGCTGAAACATAAACTGCACCTTATTGTTTTATATTTTTGTACAGATGAGAAATTGAGGTAGAACAGTGAGTTGAAAGGGTTAAGTGACATCATCAAACACAGTCTTAGGGGAGATACAGGTACGGCCCCTAGCCCCTTCTTGGGAGGGGGGTTCTCTTGTCTGTGGCAACCCTGCTCCTGATCATTTGCGTTTTCACTTTTCCCCTCTATCCAGTCTTTCCTTGGCCAGGCCTTCAGGCTCCTTTATGTCCCATGCTGTCTCGTTTGGTGACTCTGTGCTTGACAGTGGTGGTCTTCATTGATGTTTCCAAGTGCAGGACACTGGGCCTGTAGGCACAAAGCTGAGAGATGGTAGAGCTCTGTTCCTTTGCACTGCACTACCCCAGTAATCCCACTGACTGAGGAAGATGAGGAGAGATGTTAAGAACTCCAGTGCCCTCCCTAGTCTTCTTCCCTCTGTTCCTCAGGGCCAATTCAGATCTAAAGTCAGAGTTTTAGAGTTAAAATAGACTTTAATGGCTTATCCAACCTTGTTTTTCTACAAAGAAAGGTAACAGGCAAAGAGTTTATTATTGCCGAAGCCTCTTGGCTCTTGAGTAGCAGAGCTGAGGCTGGTTCCCTGAAACTCCACCAGCTTCCCCGTATGGCTGGCTCATTGTTCTCATCCTCGAAGCCCTGCCTCTCCTGTGCCCACCTTGGCTCTTTGCATACTCCATGCTGAGTTTGGTGCTCTCCCATTCGTTGGTGTCAGGTGGCCGTTGGCATCTTCTCAGTTACCTGAATGTACATGCAGGTAACAGAGTGAAAGGGAGCTAACCTTTGCCGGGCTCTCTTAGAGCCACATTCTGGAGGCCAGCCAGGGAGGGTAGAGATGTTGCCAGTTCTCATTGTCCCCCAGCTCTCTGATCTGCTCTTCATCCATGGTACTCAAGCTCCAAAGCAAAGTAAGATCATCCCAGAAGTCCAGGTAGTTCTTGTCATCTCTCAAAGGGCTGGGGATGTGAAGTCCTCTCCCTTAACACATTGGTGTGATTCATCAAAGAATGCCTCATACCCACTCCCCTGCTCAGTACTGTTGACACTGTTTGAGGTGGTACAGCCTGGTACCTGGCATTCAGGCTCCATTCAGAGTTCCCTGCTCAAGTCAGAAGAATGCCAGTATCCAGAGACCTCATGCTGGACTCAGCCCTACCCACTGGATCCAGAGGAGAGGTTGTGGAAAATCAGAGCAGAGAACAACTTCCTTCAGCCGTGTGTCTGGAATGATCCTGTTTCCTCCCAGTTGCAAAGCTTCTCAAGTTCCATAAGCCTCGAGAATCTTTAAGAGGATTGCTGGCTGGTGGAAGGGAAATACATCCCTCCCTCACCATGTGGGGAATAGGAAATACTGCAGGGTTGTGTGGGAGGCAGGTAGGTTGGTGATACGTTGGGTGGAAAAGCAAGTTGACAAAATTCCCTTGTTGAGACTCATTCATGGAGTCAGTTGGGGATGAGTAGTGTAAGGGGTTCACACTACAAACACAGTTTTCTCATCTCAAAGCAAACTGTAGTTCCCAAAAGAAGAGTATGTGTCAGGGCAAGCAGAGAGAATAATTGATGCCAGAATGTGTCTACCCCTGAAACTGAGGCCTCTCAGCTTCGCCAGTGATGGGTAACAGCTGCTGTTCTCTGCTGGCCTAACTGAGCCGATCCGTGATGTCTGACCCCATGGGGAAGGCACCTCTCATTTCACCCCAGGCAGTTGCGTGGGGGGGGATGCTGCTTCACATGAAGGGGCTCTCCAGAAGAGACAGTGTTGCCTCTGCCACAGCTTCCCTTCGGGCCCCTTTCAAACTTGACCAGATTGGGAGAACAGGGGTCAGGTTCCCCTGTGTCCGCTCTCCTCGGCCTAAGTGTGTCTCTGATGCACGCTGGAGTATAGAGGGTAGGAGAGCGAACGCACCAGAGCTCTTTCGGGTCAGATTCCCTGAGTGTGTCCTCAGCCAAGCCTGGTCCATGTGTCTGTGTTGTGAAGCTTGGGACCATGGAGCCAGGTGTGAGGGTAAAGATTGCCCTAAGAATGCTTATTCTTCTGTTCTTGTTGGGATCTGTTCGTGGGGGGATGGGGGGATGGGGAGAAACTTTACCTTGTGTATTCATCAATAAACTCATTTACACAAAATAAAGTTTGGTGTGTACTACGTTCTCAGGACGGATACCCCAGGACAAAACATAGCTGGCCAGAGAAGAGATAGCAGTAACTTTTTTTTTTTTAATGACCCTTACCCCCCAGGGGTTCAGCCAGATGAAAATAGGATTGAGAAAAAGCCTTTATCTCAGGAAGCCACCTGTTGTTCAAGTCTCAAGTCCCCACAACTTCAGGAAGGGGTGTGCAGGGGAGCCAGTCTCCCTGGCAGCCGTTCCTGGGACACTGGGTAGAACGGTAGTGGCCTCGTCCCCTGGGTCATCAGTATCTGCCAGCATAGCCAAGGGCAGGAACAGCAGAGCTGCTGTGTGGCACCTGTTACCCAGGATGTCTCAGCACTCAGGTGCAAAGGCCTCCTGAAGCCAAGGTCCACATGTTCCTAAGCAAATGGGATAGCCACTGCTTTAAAGAAATCAGCCCGAGAATACTGTTTTGTATTGCTTCCAGAAGCCCCTGGGCAAGTCCTTGCGCGTCTCTCACAAGCATAGACAGAGTTTGGAGTTTTCAGCCCTTAGTCGCTCAGAGTAGTTGCTTTTGGTGTCTAGACAAAGAACTGACTTTGGCAACTAGTCTCCCTCCACCGGGCTCCCAAGCTCTAGGGGGACCCTAGAAAAGAAAGGGTCCCTAAGTTGAAGTAAATTCCAGGCTGCTGAAGAACAGTCTTGAGATCTGGGATACGGTCAGGCAAAGCCCCAGAGGGTCCCAGCTCAGGTCCAAGTCACCTGGAGAGCTTTCGGAAATGACAGATCACCATGTTCAATGAGTGAGTCAAGGTGAGGGTGAGATGGCCCAGTGGTAAAGGCACCTGGCTGTCTGATTCACATCCCTGGAACCCGTATGGAGGAAGGAGAGGACCAACTCCCAAAAGTTGCCCTCTGGCCTACATACATACAACACACACACACACACACACACACACACACACACACACACACACACACACACACACACCATGGCATGCCTGTGTTCCACACATACACATAAATAAATTACTTTAAAAAAATTTAATACCCAAGGTTAATGCTGAACTACTTAGGACTCACTGGCAGGGAGAGGCTTGAGCCTGTTCGTCCCTGCTCATCTACAGTAATACTTGTGGTGGTAGAATGGTAAAGCACTCGGTGCCCATCTGAATTCAGCATCACCTGCTCTTCAGGGGAGATGTGGCACCACATCTGACTGCATGGCAGTTTCCTCTTTCACTCCATAAAAGGTTCTCCCCTCCTACTCACTATATCCAGCTTTGCTAAGTCCTGAGGATGGCCATATGCTCAGCGCAGCTGACCACCCCCCACCCCCAACTTAAACCTGTTTTCAGAGATGGCACTGTTCTCTGCCCCCAGGATGGGCCTCAGATACATTGTTTCTGAGGACTCCGATCTGGACCTTCCTCCTCCCACTGTATGCATTAGTACTTCCGGTCTTGCTTGGACCCTGATTTTCCCCTGCCACCCTCAGCTCTAAGAAGCAAGAGCCTGTTTATTTTAATAGCTGGTATGGCACTTGGGAAGGATCACACCTCCCCCGTTGTTACCCATTTCTATCTCCTGAACACTAATCCTAGAATCCCAGCCAGCCCCCAGACATGGTATTAGCGGCAAGGATGTTTCTTGAAAAGTTTCGAGTTGGCTTTGAACTTGCCTTCTCGATTTCTCGGTTTCTCATTTAGCTTTTAGCCTGCTGTGCTTGATCTGCCAACGAGGGGAAGACTCAGTCGGGGGTTGGTCAGACAGACCTACATTCTTATTTGGAGAAGTGGCTTGAAAAGCCGTTTCCAGAGCGTTGTTTGGGGACAACACTGTCATCTCTAGGATCAGATCCTCCGTCAGGCAGAACCCCAAAACACAGGGTGAATTTTGGTATTAGCTGGCTCTCCCTCCGTTCACACTCTCCTCACAGCCCGCCTCTGACATCGCAGTGGGAGTCCTCAGCTATAATGGGGCACAGGTGGATCTGGCCCTTTTCTCCTTCCATACTCTGGCTTCTTCACATGCTACAGAGGGCACACACAATTGCTCACCTAGAACCTGAGTTTGTGAGCTTGCCCCTCAGCCACCAGGTATCCTCAGCTGAACCACAGTCACAAGAGCCACAAAGCCCGACCGACAGATCCAAGGACCAAACCCCTTGAACTTCCTCAACAAGGTAATCCTAGTGACACAGAAGAATAAATAGGCCCAAATGGGCTCTCAGCAAAGCAAAATGAATTCGCTTCAATTCAGGCAAGTAGACCATTTTATAAAGATACTGCCACTGTTTCTTCTTTAAATAAAAGCAGTGCTTTAAATGACATGCCTCTGAAGGTTGGTATGCCGGTCCCGTAATCTGTAGGGTAGAGCCTTGCCGGATTTCTCATTTCTAGTCCCCCTCAAGCTGAAGTGGACCTATGGCCTGGGGGAATAACAGAAAGCTTCAATCCTTGGGCAAGATGAGGAGGAAAGATTTTTGAGATGCAGGGGAAGGGGTGTCCTGGATGAATGAAGCTAAGGGGGTGTCAGCGACTCTACTGGAATCCCGTGGAGCCAGTCACATCTGATCCCCAGCCAGCCCCAAAGTGGTGCTCTGAGAGAGGGGCCCTGACCTTTCCCAGTCCTAATCTTGTTCCAGGTACTGCCCCAGGCCGCCTCAATCCCACATCCTAACTCTAGGAGCCCACCTAGAACAAATGGAAATGCTTTCCCCCAGTGGTGTCCATCCTGAAAGATAAGGCCACACACTGGGGCTCCATACTGTATTGTGTAAAGACTTGACACACCTTGGCTCAGTTATGTCCTGTCTGCATCAGTGGGGGAAAGGACTGGAATCTGTTTCATAGATACAGGTTCCTTCTTGCCTCCATCACACAGTACAGGGCAGGGCTGGAGTCAAACACAGAGCTGTCTGCCCGGGGAAGCCAGGCTTATGACTACTGCACTTTCTACACAGCAGAAATGGGGACAGCAGTTGGGAAAATGCCCCAAACACAGAGGCCAAAGGGAGAAGGGCAAGAGGGTCTGTGAGCTAGCCGGAGCCCACCGTAATAGAAAGCTTTGGAGGAGGATGCAGTCCCAAAGGGGAAAAAAAATCCCTCGGTGGGTGGATACAGACCAGTTTCTCCTTGCCACCCTAGAGATATTTAGTGCCCAACTGTGATGCCCTCCTTCACAGCCCTTCCCTGTTTCCCATCCATCCAGACAGGACTGAGAACAATCCTGGTGGTTTAGGTCATTGATAGTCTTCAGCATCAAATCCGCTGGACTTGGAAACACCCAGGAAACACATCTCTCTGGGTGTGCCTGTGAGGATGCTTCCAGAGAAGTTTAACCGAAGGGGGAAAACCCACCTGCATGTAGGTGGCACTATCCCATGGACTAAACAAAAAGGCAAAGGGGAAAAATTGAGCTTAACCTAGCATTCATCTCTGCTTCCTGGCTGCCCACAGAGTGCCAGCCACTTCTCATTCCCACCGCCTTGCCTCCCGGCCACAATAGACTGTCCCCGTGAACCGTGAGCCAATATAAGCCCTGTCTCCCTTAAAATCACTCTCATCAGGCATTTGCCACACCAAGGAAATAGAATAGGGTCTCTGAGATTCTTTGGGGGGGGGGGGCAGGAAGCAGTCAAGAAGGCACACAAGCCGCAGTATGAGGTCAGAGGGTGTGTGGGAGTTCCCTCCTTCTGATCCCAGGGACCAAACCTCATGCACAGCGGTAGGCACCTGAACAGGCTGACATCTTGCAGCCAGAGACCTTGTGTTAACCTCTGCCAACATCTTCTGACCCCCCTTCTTCCAGCCTGTGGGGTTCTTTCAGGTCTCTGGGCTCTCTCCTCAAGCCCCTACAATTGCTCCAAGCCTCCGCTGCCCTCTCTAAAGAGCTGGCCCACCAGCTCGGCCCTCCTAGACACCTTGACTTCTAACACAGCCCTTTATCTTTGACTCTCCCACTGGACTGTGAGCCCTCCGCTGAGCTTTTTCACAGCTGCCTAGCTAATGACTCAGCCTTTGCATTCCACATTTTGCATTTAAGTACGAGGAGTTACTCATCTTTTCTCAGCCTCAGTGATCTCATCTGTAAAATGGGGGGAGAAACAGAACCTGCTTCATAGGATGTTCTGAGGATTTAACTTGAGGATTTAGGCAAAGCTCTTACCACACTGGGATGTTTCCTACTGGTAAAAATATGTTGGTGAGGATGGTTTGAGAATAAACACAAGAGGAAACTGCGCCCTCAAGCCTGGCAAATGCTGGGCTCTCACAGAGGAGAGGGACTGCAGATTTAGAGGAGTGGAGGTCATGCTTTGGCAGGGGACCAGATTTGCTTGGCGCTAGCCTGGCCTGCTGTTCCCTGCCGCAGTGGAGGGTGAGAGTGACCACCCTCCTACTCTGTCCTCTAGGGGTGGAGGAGCAAGAACCTGGATGTCAGCACCCAAAGCAGGACACACGCTGGGCACCTGCCAGTCACTGACTGACTAGACGGGTAAGGGTCAGAAGGACAGAACGTGGGGAGGAGGGGAACCGAGGGCCCAGCCGAGGGCAGGGTGAGTGGCTGTGAGGGCAGGGAATCGCAGCAACGGAGCCACAGGCACCGGGGCCTTTCCGGTCCCCGCCTCCAACTCCTCCGGGTTCGAGCCACCTTTTCCCGGGGGGGGGGGGGGGGGAGCCGGGAGGGAGATGAAGGTCGAGGTTAGGGGACTGGGGAGCTGCTCCCGCGGCGCCCGAGTGAATCCGTCGGGCTCGGGGACCCAGCGGAACCCCCGCGCCCGCCTCCCCCTCCGCCGGTGCGAGTGGGGCGGCGCGCTCCGCAGGGCGAGCAGCTGAGCGACCCTCAGTGCTGCGGCCCCCCGCGCCCCAGCCCGCCGCTCCCGGGCCGCGGGCGGCGCCCCTCACTCTCCCCCCGGGCGGGGGAGCCCCAGGCAGCGCCGGAGCCCGGGGGGAGCGCGGCCGCGCCGGCCAGGGCAGGGGGCAGGCAGCCCGGACGGCCCCGGGTAAGCGGGTGGAGG